GTTCAATTTGAAATACAAATGTGGTATAGGGCTGCAAACGAAAATGGCTGCTGGTATGCGTAGGATCTGCCATTTGAAAGGAACTGCAATTTAAAAGAATTGTCAAATAACACGAGTAGTGTAAATCTTTAATTGCCGAGCTATAATGTAAATTTAGTCTGGTGTCCTCAGATAGGGGTTTTTGAACAGATTATAGGAATTACATGAGTAAAACTAATTTTAGGGTCCACGTCCGTTTATGGAGAAGTCCACTGAATAAACGTTCGTTGGAAGTAAATAGAAGGCGCTAATCTCGAAACCAGACCCAGTGTCCATTTTCCTAATAAAGGGTGTCCGCTTAACTGGGAACCTACTTAATAGGGGTTTCATTGTATACCCTATTCAGGATAGACTTTCTAAAGTAAGTCAAGGATAAAGAAAAGGTCGACTTGTGGCAAGTCTATATTCAGGACAGCGACGCTAAAAAAGCATACCTTAATTCACCGGCACGTCTCCGTACCCAGAGGGCGGGGGAGGGGGTGAGGAGAGGGGGGAGCGGTAAGTGACAACTGACAATTTTTTCCTTGCAGACACTACTTCTTAGCAAGAATTCATTACTGGAATTTACAACAGGTCGCGTCATTGACCTTATATCAAACGATGTTCAACGCCTGGAGCAAGAAGTTGTGAAGTTGATATTCGTAGAGTTTGCTGGCCTCCTAGAACTCGTGGCAGTCTCATTGTTACTTGTGTACTTCATTGGATGGCAGGCTCTTATGGGAGTCTTTTTTCTGTGTCTCCTTGTTCCATACTTTGCCGGCTTGTCTTTTGCCAGTGCTGAGCTGCGCTTACGCACTGCAGTAGTGTCCGACCAACGCATTTCCTTGATGAACCAGGTGGTTTCTGGAATTCGCGCCATTAAAACGCGCGCGTGGGAAGATGAGTACCGAGAAAAGATAAGTCACGTACGAAGGTAGGTTCACTGTAGGTAGGTAAAGTCTGCATACGAGCCAAGTATAGGAATATTTCTACTTACCCCTGGATGGGATGATAGTCCATCGCAGGGTTACCCCAGCATTAAATTCGCCGGTACCCATTTGCACACCTGGGTGGAGAGAGGCACTGTGAGAGAATAGTGTCCTTCCCAAGAACGCAACACAATGTTCTCGGTCAGGGTTTGAATTCGGACTGCTCGATCCCGAATTGAGCGCACTAACCATGAGGCGACGAAGTACGAAGGTTGGAAGACAAGAGATATGGTGGTTGAAACTAAGTTCATGCGGTGATTAAGCCATTTTATGTGGGAACCCCGGTTCGGCCTAGTCCACGTTGTTTTGCCGTTCTGATTTAGCTTTCTTTTCAAATTGCCAATCGGATAATTTACTTTTGAGATACGCTAAAATTCCAAATTGAGACCCTTTTAATAAGATCTACATTCCTAACGGCCTCGGTAGCTCTTTCATAATAATAAACCCTTTGTTTGGCACATTGATAGCAATGTGTGTCGTCACTGATATCTTTGCTATATTGCCTACGAAAAGTTACTCAAGATTGTATGCTTTCATTTAGAAATGAAATCAATGTCATTCGTGACAAGAGTACCGTTCTGTCAGGAGTTGCTGGCTTGGAGTACAGTTCAGTACCAATGGCGACCCTTGTGGCGGTGATAACTCTAGTATTGACCGGTCACACCCTCACGCCCGTGAATGCTTTCATGCTCCTCTGTTTTATTAATAGACTACGACAGTGCATTTGCTTTTACTTGGCGTACGGTTTTCTAGAAACGTACGAAGCTTATGCTTCTCTCAGGAGAATAGAGGAATTTTTCCTTTCTGAAAATTTGCGAGGTACGTCAAGTGATCTCAGAAAAGCCGCAGCTAACGCAAAAAGAAACTCCAGGAAATTACGGAGTGGTCTTACGAAACATCCGAAGAAAACGGAAGAAGCTGACGAGACAAAAGCTCGGAAGAAACCGACAGCTCTAGCCGTTTCAGGTTTGACGTACAGAAAATTCAACCGGGAAGATGAATTTTTTCTGGAAAATATCGAATTAACCGCAGCGGCACAGAGTTTAACAGTCATCACTGGTCCAGTGGGCAGTGGAAAATCTACTCTTCTCTCGGCGATCGCTGGCGAGGTCTCAAACACAAGCGGAAAAATAGCCTTCCAAGGGACACTTGTGTATGTTCCCCAGACAGCTTGGGTCTTCTCTGGAACCATAAGAGAAAACGTTTTGTTTGGCCAACCATACGATGAACCCAAATACTCCAGAGTAATGGAAGCATGCGCCCTTACGGAAGACATCCAGCGGTTTCCTGAGTATGACCAAACAATTGTCGGAGAACGTGGTGAAGTTCTGAGTGGAGGTCAGCGGGCGAGAGTAGGTTTAGCACGCGCAGTTTACTCCGATGCGGACCTTTACTTGTTGGACGACCCATTGAGTGCTGTGGACTACAAAGTTGGCCAGCACATCTTTGAAAAATGCATCAAAGGCTTTTTGAGTGACAAAACATGCCTGCTGGTCTCTCATCAAGAACAACATATGAAAGAAGCCGATGAAGTGGTTATGTTTTACAGAGGCCGAGTGTTGAAAAAGGGAAGTTTTGCTGAGCTACAAGAACAAGGCATCCTGAACAAGACTGTTGATCCGCTCTATAAGAAAGTTCCGGAGGAGGAAAATAGCAACGAATTTGTTTGGGAGAATGAAACGGAAAGCGATGTTGCAGATAACTATGACAGCATGGCGGCGCTACCCAATGAGGCCAAGGGTCTGCAAATATCAGAAGAAGATCGCACCATCGGAGTGGTGTCATTTAAGCTTTATTGGAATTACTTCAGAAGCGGAGCACAAATATTGACGATCTTCGGGATAATGTCCTTGTGTGTAATTACTCAAGGTAAGCCGCAGTCGATATTCCCTGGTTATCAAGGTTCTCTTTCCGAGGCAAGTACTTATTTATTTACACCCAAAAGTAAAATACTCTAACGTTTCTGTTGTGTCTTTTGCCGCTATCTCTCCCCCGGACAGTTTTAGCTTTAGGCGCCTTCAAGTCCTTGACGCATCACCCATTGAGAAGTGTAGCAGCTCTCGTAAGCTTGTAATTCTTTACATTGTTAGCAGCTGTTATTGTTTTAGGGCTAGGTGCATTGTTTCTGTTGTTTGTTCCATTGTTCTCTCAAAGGGTAGCAAGCCATTCATGTGAGACCTTACGACAGCTGCTACATCACCCGACGCATTGCGCGTGTTCTGTCGTTTTGAACTCGACGAAAGGGAAAATGTGGGGTCCGTCCAAATATGTCTTTTTTATTTTATTTGTATAAAGCGTAAGCCGGACACTTTACTTTTGAACGAATGCACTGGAACCACAGACAGACGAAAATAATTTGGTAGTATTTAAAGGGTTAGGCTATTTTGAATTCCCATCTGCGTACAGCTGCAGTGAAATATTCAGGAGGGAGAGGTGACTCTATTGTTTTCGGGTATTAAAACACACCAGATAAATTTCATTTTAATTGAACACACTTTTATTCAACTTCTAGTTACTTTTGGCGGAGTAAATTCATGTATTTAACCCTATTACGCCTGGGCGTATCTGTTTGTACAACAAGACTTTAGGGGCATAAAGTGTCCCAGCCTAGGAAAGGAGTAACGTTCATGGTCATCAAACGTAGATAGTGGGCAAGCATCCTGCAGCAGTAAGAATGAGCGATATAGACTCATGATTAAAATTTCTTAAGTGCAAATTTCATAATAATGACCAAGTGCGCATTAATTATAAGATGGGGTGAAAATAGCAAAATTTAAATTTCAGGCAGTGTAGATAAATATATTAAAATATAAATGTTAAAAATTAGATGTAGGTATGTGTTTTCTTACCCATCTGGTGTCACTTATGACGTCATGCATGCATTTCAGTCTGCCGTCTTGAACCATTAAGTTCGATTATATATTACATTTTGAATCATATTTTATATGGACTGATAGAATCACCAAGAATAACTTTTTTGCCTTCTTATTATAGCGATGATAGTTTCTCCAGACGTGTGGCTCTCTCTTTTGACAAGAAAATCTCCAGACGATCAGAGAGACAAGACCAACCTTGCTATTTATGGCTGTCTGGTCGGTGCATCCTTCGTGTTTGCCATCTTACGAGCGTATGGATTCCTTCTCGTTTCTCTGTTATGTTCTGAGCGTCTTCACGACAAAATGGTTGTTGCTATTCTGCAATCTCCGGTTCTTTTCTTTGATTCAAACCCCGTGGGAAGAATCCTTAATCGATTTTCTAAAGATATAGGTTGTGTAGACGAGTTGCTTCCTAAAACATTTCTGTTTTCAATCCAGTTGGTGTTGCTAGTGATTGCATCAATTCTTGTCCCAGTCGTCACAAATCCTTGGCTTCTACTCGTTGTTGTTCCAACGATTGTGGCAGTCGTGTACATCTCCAAGTATTACTTGAAGACGGCCAGAGAGCTGAAGAGGTTGGAGTCGATATGCCGTAGCCCAGTCTTCTCTCACCTTTCTGAGACTCTCAATGGACTGGACACGATTCGGACAAGAGGCAGACAAAAGGATTTCGTGGATCAGTTTTATAGGTACGTTGGTAAACTACTTTTAGCAAATAACTCGCTAAGGTATTGAGGTACTCCCGGAAATGTTACGTCGGGTTATATGCGGCCTAATGCCTAAAAGTCGGCCTATTTAAGAACGAGATTTGTCATTTTTCAATACCCTATTACTATTCCATACCTGGCCCAGAGTTCGATGACTTCACGTTTGAGAGCTCTAAAATGTTTCATTAGAAATGGCCTCCATTTGCAAACACATATCAGAATGGCCCCAAGTTCCCAACACTAATGTGAGTGAGAAGAAAATTAGACTCTTCTAAACAGCATCACCTAAATCCGGAGTAAGGGCGATAAACCCACCAAGACACTTGTTTGAAAACCGAGACTTTGACTGGGAGTCTAACGATTTTGGACCCCCTTTCCCCCTGATCAACTGAGACTAACTTCGAACCACGCAATGGTAGAACAGCAATGATTTGGATTTTGAGGTCTTTGTGCAAGTAGGTAAATTATCTAAAGACTGTGCATTTCTTCCTCCAGATATCAAGATGTTCATAACCAGTCAAATATTATGGTGATGGCCAGTGGGAGATGGCTTGGTGTTCGCTTGGATCTTCTAGCTTCCCTGTTAATTGGTTCAGTTGCTTTGGCGGCAGTTTTCATGTCTCAAGATGCTGGTTGGTATAAGTACACTTACTAATTTATGGGTCAGTTTACTACATGTGGCGCATAAGTCTTGGAGGGGTTTCCGTAATCAAGGGATCGTTTAAAAGTTGACATGATAGGCCCCTCTCCTCCCAAACTGGGAGGGAGAGGGGTTGTTGTTTGTCAAGCCTCATAACGCTGACCTTGCAATCTGGCGTAGTTGAACATGCAAGATGTCTGTAATAATGCTTTTCAGCCTTCGTAGAAGCTATGAAGACAAGTTATCGGGAACTCTGCGATTTCTATTCTTTTCTATCTAGTCTTTCTTGTTTCTTCTCGTCAAACACGCACTTTACACCTATTTTCTCCATCCCTTCAGTAGCTTCGTATTATTTGCATCCTTATAGAATCAATTATACCATTGTCATTGAGTCTCCGTGGCCCCATTTGTTACGATATTTGGACCCTGTGGGTGTTCAATTGCGATTCTTATAAGTAAAAACTGGATACCTCTCATCAAGTTGAATTTTGTTGTCGATACAATTAATTGGTAATTTGACTTAATGTAGTGCGGGCCGTAAATTGTTCACCTCCAAGCAAGAGACAATAAGGGGGCGACAGATTCCCTGCACCCTATAATTATTATATGTTTCTCTCTCCAAGTACTATCTATTATCATTCGACGCATTTTTTCTGCATTTTGACCTGCAAATAGCTACCTACAAATAATGGTCTGTACATGTGTAGTACCGTCTAAACATGTTTTGCTGCAAATGATATTCAGCTCATGCGCAATTGAAACCGCGCTTTTGTGTGACAAAATGGCGGATCGCTTCCCTGAGCTGCCAGACAGAATTAAATCTAAAATAAACTTAGTGATAATGATAAAGCAATTCGGTTGAACTCGGTTATCGCAAAATATTGTGATTTGCCAGTGTAATTAATCTGCTCGCGACAAATCTCGACATTTTTCTCAACCTCGTCCAATAATTGTTTTAAAATTATTTGTCATTTGTTTTACTCAGCTTCAGCAGGCCTTGCACTTGTTTACGCCATTCAGACTGTGTCTCAGACTCAATACGCTACCAGAAAAGCCTCGGACGTCGAGAACCTAATGACGTCGGTTGAACGAGTTATGACGTACACCGAACTTGAATCTGAGCCAGGATACAAAGTGAAAAGGCTTCCCCCGGATCACTGGCCAAGCGAAGGAAATATCACATTCCAAGATGTATCTTTGATTTACTATCCGGGAGGTCCTCAAGTTCTGAGGAGAATCAATCTTAACATTAAAGCAGGAGCAAAGGTCGGTGTTGCAGGGCGCACTGGGGCCGGGAAGTCATCTTTTGTGGCAGCTCTTATGCGCATGCCAGACGCGGAAGGAGAGATAATGGTGGACGGGATTCGAATGAAAGAGATCAATCTACGAGAGGCGCGACGATGTATATCCGTTCTTGGTCAAAGTCCAGTTCTCTTTAGTGGATCGTTAAGAAAAAATCTCGATCTTGCGGAGCAGTTTCAAGACGTAGATTTATGGAGAGCTTTAGAAGATGTGCAACTGAAAGAACTGGTAGAGAGTTTTGAGGGACAGCTTGATCACGAGCTGCTGGAACATGGCGCAAATGTCAGTGTGGGAGAACGACAGCTGGTTTGCTTGGCGCGCGTGCTTTTGCAACGAAGCAAGATCATCGTTTTGGATGAGCCTACCTCACATGTTGACCCAGAAACAGAAAAAACAATCTGGAACGTAGTGCGTGAGAAATTAAAGGATTCCACAGTGATCACTATAGCTCATCGTTTGAACACAATCAAAGACTGTGACATGATTTTGGTTTTAAAAAATGGGGAGGTTGATGAATTTGATAGATTTGATTCTCTAATGAATATCGAAGACAGAACATTATGAAGTGCCTATGATGAAATTGTTGGGGAGTTTTTAAACACACTTAATTAGTGGGACGCTATTGAAACCAGCTCAGATATTTGGTCAGAATAACTTAAAACATCACAGGTTTCGTAACCACATTTTTAGGTAAACTACGGGCAAAACCTAATTATCATCGACGGCTAACCGTAAACACGAAAACCTAAGAGTTATTCAGCTATAGTAATCGGAGTGCTCTTCGGGCTGTGCAAGTCTACAGATCTGTAGTCTGCTTACACTCCTGCTAGCCTGTTTAGGGTTAGTTGCGGTGATTTCATTTCAATTTTATCGGTTACAGTGTTTCGTTCGTATCGTCGTGGACGTTTGGTTTCTTTGTTTCGGTGATATATTTCCATTTCTACGGCATCATGATCCCCCACGAGGGGCCTGACCTTTTAAAAAACAAACTCCTATTTTTCAAGAAAAACAAACTCCCATTTTTTTTAAAAATAAACTCCCATTTTCAAAAACCAAACTCCCATTTTCAAAAAACAAATTCTCATTTCAGAAAGAATACTCCAATTTTCAAGAAAAAACATCTATTTTTAGAAAAAAAAAATTCAATTTTTTTTTTAAAAGAAACTCTCATTTTCGGAACATTAACTACCATTTTTTCGAAAAAGAAACTCCCAGTTGTAATAAGTGGATGTCCGTTTGGAGCTTCCGTATCAAACAGCCATTTCCAAGCTAGCTTTAAACTGAATCGGTGCAAAAAAAGAAAAACAAATTGTCTGCATGGCAAATACTTCAATTCGGCTCAAAATATATACGAAACTCAAGCAAAGACGACACAACGCAGAATTTGACTTGAATTAAATCAATATTTCGGCTGTCCAGCCTTCTAACAAAATATTTTATACGCATGTGTTTCAAAGAGTAGTTACTGTGAAATATTGTGTAATAGAGCGTTTCACTCTCGTGGCCAGCAGCCATGCAAATTTATTGGAACAAAAGAAAGTGCTTACATAAGAAAAGAGTTCAACTCCCTCAGGATCGGTTTAGTACACTAACATGGCCGCGGCCGCCGTTTTATTGTTTTGGGACATCAATATGGCTACAATGACGTAACGTGAAACCGCTCTATGCATAAGTAGGAAGAATTGACAGGCCGCTGACATGTCAGTTGAGTAGCTGGCTGGCTTTCATCACGGACGCTTAAGCCACAAGGTTCAAGCGTCTTAACTCGGATAATAAGGATAGCTTCTCTGGCTTTACGATTAGAATCTCTAGTAGCCTGTTCTCGCCGGCTACCCCATTTCTAACCGAACGCCGGGAACAAGCTATAACTCTATTTTCTCAAGAGGAATGTTAAACATGTATGCAGTTATTCAATTACATTTTTATAGATAGACGATCAGGGCATAAGTCATGCCAAAACATGTCCTTAAAAAGTTGTCTCGTGTTTTTTAAATGATTTTACTTGTGCTTGCAAGAAGACAATAAATGTTTGAATTTTTTAATATAAAAATTAAAGCTGTTGCAGCTACCAGGCGCCAAGCAATTTGTTTGACAAGGTCAAATATAGATTCCATCAGATGACCAAGGAAACTTATGCTGCCGTCTAAGGTCACGACGGCTGTCACAGCTAAGGAAGAGAAATAGTACAACAACACCGGGCAATAACATTGCAAAAGAAGAAATTCCCGTCATTTTCGATGCTTGAGCTGTACTTATCAAAGGTAAGGAAGATATACTGCACTAGCTTAATAAGGAACTACGCACGACTTGGTATGTTCCTCTCGGGCTCACGGTTGACTTAACCAGGGGTACCCAACGACCGTTTCCTCTCGAATGCTTCAGTTAAACGCTCTTTTAGGCTATCTGGAGTACTTTTAAAGCTCTGTAGGTTCAGTAATTTTAGGTTGCGCTAAAAATTTTTTATCTGTTCGGTTATTCTAGGGGAACTTGAGTATTGTCGAATTTATTAGCGCTTTTTTGTCCATTTCCCGAAAACCTTAGGCCTTATCGCCTTTCCGAAACTGATAGCTGACCTTTTTTCGGTACCCAAAACGACATTTGTAACAGTCCGAAAACAACAGACATTAAATTTCTCACACCACGAAAGTTCGAGGTGACAATTCTCAAAATCAGATGGGATTATAGGCCTTCCGAACAGATAATTTACCGAAACGATCCGTTGGGTGCCCCTGACTTTCCTATCAAAAGTAAATAATAAAACAGATGGGTTTTCTATGAATATAGAAACCGGGAGGGGAATGCAATTTCTTTTCTAAGCTATATAAGTATGTGCAGTGCCAAAGGTGATGGTTTGTCAGACATTGTGGCCTGAAATAGGCTACACATTTTGACCATTTTGACCTGAAATAGAGTATATTTTGCACTCTGGTTAGGAATTGGGTACGATGTTGTTCAGATGAAACTAATTTTTCCCTGATTGATTGATTCCCTGGTGAGTTGAAGAAATTCTCAGTTGTTTGCGTGAATGGAGGCCATTCCTGGTAACTGAGACCATGTATCGGACACATATGCATGTAATGATTTCAGAGTTCTGAAATGGGTTGTCGAAAATCACTTATTTTAGTCGTTAAATAGGGCCAGGGTTTTAAGAAACTCGCTGCAGATCACCACCAAAATGTTGGCAATTCTCCCCCCCCCCC